TGACCCGGCCGCTCCAGCACTGGAGAACAACTGCTGGCGCTGCTCCTGCAGGACTGTGAGGATCCAAGGTTGTTCTCAACACCCTCAGACCACTTCAGTCAAGAAGGTTTCCACTTCATTTTAAAAGCAAAGCCCTGGGAAGCGAGGGGACGCTCGAGTGGCACAGCTCTGATACAGGCAGTGCCGAGGCATTGGGGAGCGTCTCTGGGGCACTGTGGCCAGAGCAGGCAGCAGTGCGGGGATGGAGGGCTCGGCAGGGACGCACAGATCAACACTGGCGACAGAGGGCTTGCTCCCTCCAGCGCGTTGCAGAGCTTCATCGTGGGCGGAATTGCACGGTGTTGCGTTACAACCTGTAAATAGGTGTATTATAGCCTGGCTTGTACATACAGGAGCCGTAGTGACCTTTGATACGGGTTTGGGACAGGTGTGTTCTCAGCAGCGGGGCAGGTTGGGCGCAGATGCGCTGGGCAGTCCCGTGCTGTAATGCAGGGCATAAAGTGACTTGAAGCTGCTCCAGCCCTTGCCTTGCTGGACTCCTCTCTGTCTGTAGTGCCTTTTGTAGATACAGCTAAACGCACATCATGCAATACAGTGAACAAAACCATGTCAGAGGTGATGTATTGTTATGTGTTTTTATTGGTTTGTTTTTTCAAAGTGCAACAGACTGTGCAAAGTTGTTGTTTTTTTTAAGGAAAAAAAGAAATTCAAGATTAGCTACAAACTGTTGCCTATTGAAAAATGCAATAGCATTTTTTTTTTCAGCTTTGATCTAACGGTGGGTTAATACAACCAACCTGTGTCTGAGCCTGGCTGCTCCACAAGTGGCAGCTGGGGGAAAGGAGCCGCTGCTGTGTGCCCTGGATGCTGTAGCCACTTTACATGTTGGTTTTTGCCTCTTCTGTTACTGATGCTGGTCAACATTGTTTAAATGTACTATATTCTGTGAAAAGCTGAAGAAAATTTTATTCAAAGAGAAGTATTTAGATTTGTTATTTATGAGGGCTTTTAAAAAAAAAAAGTGTTGTTTTCATTGCTTCTGCTGGATTATTAATTACCATAAAAAGTTAACTGGGGGGATGGGGAGGGATGTACTGGAGGCCTGGGCAGGGCTCTTAGCACTGGGGATCGTGGGGGACGGGTGAGGCAACCACATTTGTGCGGCACAGCTCTGTGTACACAGCCCCACGCAGCGCTGCCCTCAGCATGGGGGATATCGCACATCTGCGCCCTCAACCCTGGCGTGATGGTGGCCACCATGGTGCTGTGCAGTGGCCACAGCAGCACTGTGCATCCCAGCCTGGGTGCCACAGCTCAGCTCTGCGCTGAACCGGGCTTAACCCTGAGGGCTGCAGTGGTGGCCAGCTGTGCTGCTGGGTGGTGGCCGTGACCTCACTGACAGCCCGTTTCCTTGGCAGGCCAAGGTCGCACTGTGCCGGTAGAAGGTTAACGATCAACTTTTATTGGTGTGCTGCAGTTTGCACAGTACCAAACCCTTGCCCTGCGCTGAGATCAGGCCATGAGGAGGTGCCCTTTGATACTTTCAGGCCAAGCAGATGACAGCGCTTAGCCAAGCAGGATGCTGCACGCCCACTGGAGTGTCTGTGTTGCCATCTGCTGTGCACTCACTCATGTTGGGAGGTGCACTTTAGGAAGGCATGCAAGGGGTTAAGGCTGGCTCTGTGGTGACTAATGGTGCAGGACTCTGCTATCTAGTTAGGTGTGTAGGCACACACCAGGTCCCACCAGATAGGATCTCTTACCTGGAAGCAGCATTCCAGCACCCATCGATAAACCTGACAGCCACAGACTGACTCACCGAGTCCCCAGTGCCGGGTGATCTGCCCTCCAAGATCAAGTACAGGCAAAGCATGCTGCCAGGGTCTGTTCCTGTCCCATGCAGGGCAACTGTTTTGGGGAGGGGAGGGGACATGCTCCATCTCAGCACGAGGTTCTTACTGAGGAGCTGCAGACCTCACTTGTCATCCTCACCTCCCAGGAAGCTGCCATCTTCTCAGTGCCTCACTAACAGGAGATGGGCAGAGCAGCCATCCACCATCTACCTCGAGCCACTGTTTTGGAGCAAGGGAAGGGCCATTGCTGCAGGCAGCTGTTTGCCAGTCACCTGCAGGACTCTGCTCCTGTGCTCTCCATGTCCCGTTTGGTCAGCGAGGCAGCCACTGAGTTCCTTGAACAGTGTAAACGCAGCATGGTTTGAGGCTGGGCATCATGGCAAAAGATGGCATCTGACAGCATGAGGACTACATGGCTTCTCAAATTGGTTTTAATATCACAGAGCAGAAACCAAAGTGGTGGTTTCACCTAAAAAAAAAATGCCTTGTCCACAAAGGCAGCCTGAGACTTTCTAATCCTATGACAAACAAGCCCATGTTCAGCTTCCCTAGCTCTTCAGTTGCAGGCCCTGTGTGTGCATGTGAGCACGTGTGTGTGTGTGTGTGTTAGTAAGCACACTACAGTCGCTTTGGCAGCACCCTGTAATGCACTGTGTATGGTCAAACCACTTGGTACAAGTGTGGTTTTCCCAGGTGGTGTTACAGAAAGTCAGTCCTCTGTACTGCTACTGCACCGTTGTGCTGTGGGAAATGCCAGCGGAGAACTGGGGCAGCAGCTCGCCCAGTGCTGACCTCTGAGCACACCAGTGCTCACCCTGCCCCACGCACGCCTGCCAACCCCCTGTGCCAGTTCCTGCCTCAATTGCTCTTCTGGCCTCTTCTGCTTGCTGAGGGTACGCTTGATGCTCATGTTCTTATCCAGGAGCGATGGTCTTGACATTTACTCTACCCCTGAAGTGCGTGTCCTCTTAACTGCCAAACCCACACTCAAGTAGGGCTCCCTTAGAAACAAAGTACACCATCGGCGTACACAACGGGAAAGGGCAGCTGAAGCCCAAGGGCATCACATAGCCCACAAACACATCCATGACTTCCTGCCCCTGGTGACTGCTACCACACCAAGCTTGTGTTATTCTTGTTGGTGCTCACATTATCCTTGCTGGGCCATAACATAGCTATTGTCTTGACAATTAAAAAAAACAAACAACAAACCAACAGTATTTGCTGCCAGATCAGGAATGCTGCCCTGGAACTGAACCCTGGCAGCAGCCACCTCCACATAGATTAAATATTATTCAGCTGTTGGGTTAGGAGAAACAGGTACCTTGATCCTGTAGCTGATTGCTCTTCCCTGAGAGCAGAGGTAGGTAACAATCTCTGCAATTCCAGTACTCCCTCCAACCATGATGACTGTAATTTTTCTTGTGCCTTTCTTAAGAAAAGTGTTGCCAACACCTAAAGAACAGTGAAAGTTACAGGGTACTCCCCCCTCCCCCAGTTCATCTTCCAGCAGAACCACCTAAATGTAATTCCTTCCAAAACACTATCACTGCTCATCCCTTGAAAGGGAGCTGTATGGTTGACTTTTTACTCTTTACTGAAAAAATGCACTAGCTATGTTTTCCAGGCTCTACTCTTTTAGGGGGACCAGAGTGTTAAATGTTAAAGGGAACTGCTGTTTTTCCTCTCTTAAGAAGCCAAGTTGTCAGTGAGCCCTGTTTAGTGTCTGCTGAACAAATCAAAATCCTATTGACACTGTGCTCTGGGCTGTGCTACAGTAGAACTAAAACCAGTTAAGGTTCAAGGCAAAATGAAGTCTGGAGCAGCAGCCTCCTGCAGGATGTATTGCAGAAGCAGCCTTCAGCTCCAGCTCTCAGTCACCTGCCACCCAGAGCAGCGGGAAGAGCCTTCATCTCAGTTGGCAAAAAGGTAAATGACTGCCCTGAGTTTCTGCTGAGCACCTCACGGCTGAGCAGTGGCATTTGCAGAAGCCATGAGCCAGCCCACAGCAAAGTGCATCCAGACCGATCCCACAAAGTGGAAGGCACCTGGCAGCACTAAGGAAAGCAAAGCTCATTAGCAATTAGGTCACAAGTCAATCCAGGAGTTGGTCACTTGTAGCTCCCAGTTTAGTGCTCCTCAAGGGAGGACTTAAAAGCCATTGAATGACCTCCAGAGAGACCAGCCCTACTTAAAGGCCGTTTAAGTGCAAAGAAACCGTCAGTGAGTAATTATTTGAGCAGCCTGAGTCAAATTCTGAATCCAAAGGACGTGTGAATAGCCAGGCAGCTTTGCGAGGCTCTATCCCTCCTTCAGCTGGAGCAGGCTGCCAAGGCCCTGCCCCAGCCCCGGCCCCGCCACTCACAGCTGCCGAATGACCTCTGCTGCCAGCTCCCAGACATTCACAAGCCACTGACAAAATGAAGGCAAGGCTGCACACCACTGGTGTTTTTTTTCTTTTTTCATATTGAGAGAAGCTGCACATCACCAAATACTGGTGAGGGGGAATGAAATCAGAGAGCTGTACAGAACACACCGTTCACCTTTAACTTTAATTAAAATAGAGTTTATTAGCTTCTCTTTTAATACAAACATGAGAAAGGAAAACCACCTGAAGATGTAGCGTTATTTTCAAAATTGAATTGTGATCAATACCTGAAGTGCCAAGTTCCATGGATCTGGGAGCCGAGGCTGCCGTATCTGCATGCCGCAAAAAAGCTCTATGCATCGTTTTAGCAGTTGAGTGCAGCCAAACTGGTGATTACACTCGGACAGCCCCACTCCCACAGGCATACGGACTTGCTATTCAGTGTACGGTTCTGGGCCGTGGCTGAAAGAGGAAGCGCACAAAACCTGTGCCATTTGGAGAGAGAGCTGCTCCTAGGACAAACCGCCTAGAATCTATTTGGATCCAAGAAGGGAAGATACTACAAAGACTTGTAACAGGAAGAGTCTAATAATACTTATCCTGTTTAGAGTTCTGTTTCAGAGCCTGAAAGTAAGCTCCATTCCAAAGTCTCAGAAAGAGCAAAACCCAAGCCTCTAGGGCAGTTGCACAAGATAACTTGGCAAAAAAAAAAATAATTAAAGAATGGATTTTATAGAAAGCTTTTTGAAAAATCTCAGTTGAACATAGTATTATTTTTTAATCTACCTTGTTAGGTAGTCCAGGATTCTCAAACTCATTACTGTTTCATTATGAATGTAAATCCTTCCCAGGAAACAAAAACCCAGGGAGAGCCAGAGGGATGCACAATATCAGCTTTAGGAACTCCACTGTATATAGCACAAGAGACCTGCAGTAGAACTCAGAGAAGCAGTGCTGCACACATGCCATTCACCACTGGATTGCTACACTGTTGGGGATGGTGATGATGTTTCCAGACCAACCTTCTCATTCAATGCCTCAAAAATATACAGATTGCGTCTCTTCCAAAGCAATGTAAGTATCAGAAAATGAGAGAAGCACCATAATTCACAAGAAATGCAGCATGGACCCTATACATTTTAACAATACATAAAACCGTATCTCTGCCCCCAGTCAAAACATTCAAAGTCTTTTGACAATCTCTACTGGAGTGAAGTTGGGGGTGCAGAGCTGGAATTCCTTCCTGCTGGGCAGCTTCTTGGTTATGAAGAGATCACCAATAGTAGCAGCTTTTAGTAGCCAAACCAGGGAAAAGCCATCAACACGTGTCTATGCTACTGTTTTCAGCTCCAGAGTGGCTTTATACTTTAAGAGTCCCATGTTTTGTTTTGTTTTGTTTTTGTTAACGCTGCATCCACCCGAAATACAAATGCAGCGAGACTCTGGATGACAGGGGAGAGGAGGGAAGAACCTTGTAACTATAGTCATGTGGTTAGTGTTTAAATTCTAAAATTTAAAACTACTTATTATTAAAAACCTCAAGAGTTCACAGCTATAGGCCTACACAGTAAGCAAACATCTGTGGAGGAGAGAAGGAAAGAAGCTTGTTTTTGCACCTCTGGATACATTAGAAAGAGGACAGAGCTGATTTGACAAAGCTCTTGTCTTTTGCACCAAGTATGCTCCTCAGGCTCTGGGCTCCCTTGGCTAGTTTACCCTCCTCTCCTCTTGCTGGAAGACACCATCACTGCTGGCTCGTGTGCATGGAGCGGTGGTATTCCTCCGGTTCGTAGGGATGCTGGTTCATGGTGCTGCACCTTTCTCTCTCCTCAGGAGAGGATGGCATTAGAACGGCGGATACCAACTAAGTTATCAGCACTGAAAGATCGTCTCATAGCAGCTTTTGACAAGTCTTTGTATTTGTCTTCACACAGCCGGGAGATAGCCTGCATACCATGTGCAGATACAAAACAAAGAGTACACATTAGAAAAGTCTGAACATTTCCAGGCACCTTTTAGATGTGCAATACCAACAGAGCAGGCACTGAGTAGCAGTGACGCTACTAGCTTTTTTACCTAGAGTGAGAGGAGGAAAGAACTGCTTTGGAGGCAAAATATGGAAGGGGTCTGTCCCCATGCTAACAAGAATCCAATCCATCAGAATTAAGACAAAGAAGATGAATGGTTTCCATATGCAAGTATCTTCATTCTTTTACCAGTCCCACTGTCTAATGGAAAACTTGGATCCGTTTCAGACTTAGGAGTTTGTGGAAGTTATGTTCAGAAGTGCACCTAGTAGCTAGGTCTGGTGCACACAGCAGCACAAAAAACATTTAACAGTACAAAACCACACTCAGCCATTTCTATGAGAGAAAAGGTTGAAACTGAACAGGTTTCTGCACTTCCTCAGGCACCCTGCCTTGGCCACTCAGTGCAAGCAAGCCTAGGAAATGAAGTTCTCCTAGGACACCCATTTTGCCCTTACCTTCTCTACACCCACACCCTCACCCTCACCCCCAGCATGCTCTTCCTGGGATCACTCACTGCATCAGGTTCCTGAAGAGTCTGAGAAGACAGCCCACTGATCAATGGCATGGCAATAGCCATAGCACTTTAATACAACTATTAAATATCAGCACATGTGGACAGCTTTGTATTAAATTGCTTTTTCACCCATTTATTAGCTTGCCTCTGCTCTGCTTATCTAGCTAGTTTATTCAGTTACAGCTATTCCAGTAACAAGCCTAATTACTTAGATCCTAATAACACAATTGACAGAAAACACTGTGTGTCCTCCCCTGCAAGGCCTATTTATGATTGGAGCCTTCAAGCATTATCAATGCAAATAATTAAGGATACCTGTAATAAAAGGCTGAACTGAATTTCAGTCCTGAACATTTACTTCCATTAATAATTTACCACCTATCACCAGATGAACTTTCAGAATCCTGCAATCAGCTACAAGCCTACACCTTCCCTTTAAGGCAGCACCCATTCAGCACAGCCTGGTGTTTTGAAGTGCAAAAGGTGAAAAGCACTCCGAGCATGAATAAACTTCTATGTGTATTTTAAAATAATTATTTACATTTATTTCTGCTGACCTTCTGGAGGCATGCATTTGGCTCAAGAGTGGTGTTCTTTGAGACGCTGGCTGCATGAGCTCCTGGTGCAAGACCAGACAGACTCTCCATCCTGTTTTAATGCTAGCACATCAATCATAAAGCTACCTGTGTTGACATATTTAGCCCCAGTCACCCATATGGTGTAAATCAGTTTTCAATCTCTGGAATACTAATTCACTCCTTCATACATGCTCCTATCAACTGCTCATGTGCTTCTAACCAAAAGGTAGAATTAAAAATTTTAGCGAATTGTTTAAATATTTATCACATTTTAGAATTAAAAACTAGAGAGTCCTATGAACATGCATTAGTAAATGTGTTATGGCAAATCACATACTGTACTGAAAATTACTCTGGTTTTAAACACTAAGCCCCCAAATGCTAGCAAAGGAGAAACAAAACAGGCTCACAATCTGTAAATCATCCACTTATGCCTGGGCACTGAGCAGTTCAGTAAACAATTTCCTGCAGAATACGAGCTGCCCTACAACCACATTTACAATTGGTGACAGTGTTAGCTTAAAGTGCAAGTAACAAGGGTGAGACAAAGCAGAAGAGTTGCATTGCTTAACTTTAAATAGAGGAATCCATAGGCATATCATAACAATCATACCAAAGGACCAAGAGGGATCACACTTATTCCCAAAGTTCAGCCACTTCTAGGATGAAATAAAAAACCCTGTCACTTGGCAGAATTATTGGGGGTGGACAACAGAACAATATGAGCCAAGAGTACTGTAGCACACCCCTCTGTGAAAGGGGCTATGGTATCAGTGTACACAGGGCCTGCGGTAACGCCTTTGTTGAAAGGTCAACAAAACAACATGCAGAGTCATCAATTAAACCTCAACAGATGAAAGGTTGCATTGATCCAACAAGAAATTTTGCCTGGGAACCCAGGTAATTTCGATATTTTGAAAATGTCTTACATATCTCCAACAACCAGGACAAAAGGCTGACTTTGCAAAAGTTCAAGGTTTTTTTTAAATGAGCCTTCATACCAAAGAAGGCTGCATGGACTCACAGAAGGGCAGCCTTTCCCATCCAACAGAAAGGGCCAGTAATCTGTATTTACACTCCTCTGGACAATCTGAAGGACTCCTAAGAAGTGGCTATTCCAGAAGTTTATCTGAAAGCAGCATTTCTTTGGAAAGGTGAGGTACAAGAAGTTGTAAAAAGAAACACATTATAATTTCTGCAGCTGCCCCCAGACAAATGGTTTATTAAACCATGAGAGCAGTAAGAGTGCTGCCTCTAAATCTACAAGCAGTTGTGCAGTGGGATGCAGTGGGAAACCTTCAGCTGGAAGTATTTAGAAAGGTCTGCATGTGACTGTCTCTAGGTGCTTGGAATACAGACTGTGACCAGGGAAGGACAGACAATCCATTACATATGACACTAATCCTTTCAATCTTAAGTAGCCTAGCTGAGCTGTGGTTCCCAAAATAACATCCATTTTATTTTGCAATCTGCTAGACTTCCATAATCTCTGTCCCTTCCTTTGCTCAGAATACTAGCTTAGCCTAGACATGGTTTTAAAAGTGCTAACTGTAGTTATAAAGGGGTTAAATTAGCCCATAATACACTAATCTAAAAGCTTTTTAGTTTTTCTAACCTCCACTTAATATGATTAGCAACAGATGCTCTACTACACATACAGAGTCCCCTGCTCAGCCACTTTCAGACCATTACCTCCAGTTTCTGTGCTCTCTCTTTACTGAGAGGCTCCAGCAGAAAGCTCAGGTTATTGTCATCTGCTAGGGAGCGAAGATCGAAGTAGTATTTGGCGTAAACACTGGCAGGAACATTGATATTAAACTGCAGTAGCTCCAAGAAGTGTCTTTCCATCTCGTTCCTAGGAGGTGTAAGGGACAGAAGACAAAGAAAAAGAAGATTGTTTTAGCTGGCTGAAAACACTGAAGAGACCTCAAGCTTGTTTTTAAAACCACCAACTTTGAAATAGCCAGAGTGCTCTGCATTATTAGTTGCGAGAGAGAGGTCATTCACTGGTGCTCAAAACAAGGTGCAGCTTTTGAGTCCTGGCACCTCCGGCTCGGAGAGAAAGGTAGTGCCCTGTCGTGCACTGGCTGGGCTGACCGGGGAGGTTCATTCTTCGGAGTTCCATTAGTGCAGCTGTACAATTCATGCGCCATTCTCACTCTTGTCCGGCCCCACACTATAGTGATCAGATGAAAGGAATGATGTATGCTGTTTATTAGCTCTGAAGAACTTGCAGACATTTTCACCAGGCTGATAACAGGAAGGGGGTTTATTGAAGTAGAGGCGGGCTAACAAAAGGAGTAGGCAGATCACCACGGCAACAAATGGATCTATGAAGAGCTGCTGCTATTATCTCACAGAAAAAAGCCTCTTGAAGCAACATGGATTCATCTCCAATAAATAAATAAATAAATAAGCAGCATTAGGTGGGAGAAGGAATTTTCTCCTCAATAGCATTAGGCAGGATAACAAAGTACCCTGTCAAAGGGCACTGTCCAGTTTTCACTCTCTAGTCTATTTTCACTGGGCAAAATATTTGGAGGAAAGTGGGGAGAGAGCCATGACATGAAAGGGGCTGCTTCAGCTACTGTACCGTGGTCGGCTAAATCGGAGGGGTTCTACAGCGGGAAAACAATGTTTTACAAATTAACCTAAAAGGAGCTGGTAATACCCAAACCAAGCATGTTGGTTCAACACTAAGTCACAGTGACCTTTCCTACTGGTAGCAGACCTGTCTCTCCAGAATTTAGCAGCTGTATAGGCCAACTGTGAATATAGCAGAAGATAAGTTGCAGAAATTCAGTGCCAAGGGTGTTCTTGCTTTTTGGGAGCTTTTAAAATGGATGTTTTACCTATCAGAGGGGGGAGAAAAATCAAGGAACCATCCAGGTTGTGTCCTGTATGGGATGGCAGGTCTCAGGATGAATAGCAGCTTTGTGCTTGTTTCTAGCGTGGTGAACTTGAGTACCATTGAACCTAGTGCCAAAATTAATTTCCTGTTCATACGGTCATAAGCCTATAGAAATGTAAATCAGATAATGTTTTGATGATCAACTGATCAGAGGTTGATTTACCCTGTGAATAAATGCTCTTCACTGCCCCTTTTGTACTCACTACACTAATACATTTTAATTGTGTAAAAATACAATTCTTCATTGGATTAACAAGTCTATTAACAGTGGTTTAAAACGTAGGAAAGGATAATGCCCATGTGTTTTCTGTGCCTTATTTACAAATACATGTAGCTAAAAGAATGAACAGCATGTGTCCCCTTACAAGCAATCATAGCAAGATTAGCAGCTGCACAGTTAATTTTTCAGTGATTATGGATTCACTCTGATCAAAGCAAGCAAGTTTTGACAAAGGATGACTTCTAAATATCAATTTAATTTCCTTTGATTTTTTTCACGATTAGAAATACCTAAAACAAAACACACACACACAAAAACCCCTTTCAGTAAGCAAACAAACAAAACACCAAAAACCCCAAACAACAACAAACAAAAAACCAAACAAACCCAAAACACCTTTGCTTTGGTCAAAAGAGAAAGGGCTTGTGACAGAAAAAAAGTAAGATGAACATTTCACCTGTGTTGAGTAGGAAGAGGCTAAGGCAAATGAACTCCTCTGCCAATCGTGAGGCCTGAATCACGAATCCTTTAACTTTAACCCACTAGCAGTTTCTCTAAGAGCCACGCAGCTCACACTGCTAATGGGGTTGTGCGGTGGGACTGCCAAACAAGCATCTTTTAACAGTAAGGAGAGCGTGTTTGGTGTGGACAAGGTGTACCTATGCTGCCTTCAGAAGAGTGCCTGGCTTGCACACACATGCGCCCACATAGATTTTCGAACTGGGTAGGCTAAAACAGATACAAACCCTTTTGTCCATTCCAGAGTGGTGCAACTCCCATGCTTGGCTTGCAGTGGCTCAACAGAAATATGCAGCAGGTTAGTGAGATCATTCTAGGTATGTAGAGTCAAGAGCAAAATTCACAGAAAGTTCACAAATGAAACTCACCACCAGTCCTCGTAGACAGGCTTTTACTACACAGAAATGGCCTGCCCAGGGTAATCTTTAGCTGGGGACCTGCTGGGGTTTTAGGTGGGTTTTTTGACAGCATCACCAGCCATCTCCAACATTAGAATGCAACCATGGCTGAAATCCTTTGCCAAATGTTTTCTCTCAGTAACACTTGTGTTCAGAATACCTAATATTCACCATCAGGTGACTAGTTTAAAAAATACTGGAATACCTAAAGCTGCCAATTAACTATAGTCCTATTAATTGAAAATAGACTCATAATCTTAAAACTCAGTTTTGCTGAGTACTTTAAACAGTCTTCTAAGGCCCTGATCATGGTGATATTACCCAACCCAGGAACAGTGAAGTCTGCCAAGTTGCAGCAGTGCGGGGCCTGGGATGAACACCCCTGGGCCACTGTTGGAAAGGAGCTGTACAATTTCTGCCCCTACCTAAATTCAAAGGTCTAAGTAATTTCAAATGAGATGGGATTACAAAAATCCCATCTTCAAATTGGGAGAAAAAATAAGCCTAAATACAGTCTATTTTTCCGTACCACCATCACTGCTTTGAAAATGTAAGTACTGACAATTTCAGGAGACCCAGCATCAGCAATAGAGAATAAACATCCTGCTTGTTATAGATATTTTCAGTGCTATCAATCTGATTTGTCCCAAATAGGGCCAGAAGAAGACATCAAAAAGAGCAAGATGTATACTCCAGCACTCCTAGCATCGCTGACCCCACTTCAGCCATCTCAGAGTTATTTGCAGCAGCACTTCAAGTGTGTTCCTCAGACAGATGAGCACTCTGAGCCAGGTTGAGTGAAGATGTACATTGTATAAAATCACTAATTATGCTTTCCTGAAAGCATGGCTGGCACAGCCCTGCATTCGGAGACAAAGAACTCCCGGGCAAGGGGTATGTATAAAACAAGGTACTATGTTCACTGTTGCTGTTTACGATGTGAAATGACTTGAATAACAAAAACTGTTTTGGTGCAGATGACTCCCCCATTTCTAGAAATGCTACCCCTCACCTAAAAGGTACAGTACATAATTACTTCCTGTGTCTTAAACATAAGCTTTAGGCTGAACCCGGGGAAGAGAGGTTGGGGCAAGAACAGCCTCTCACACATAGGCGGCCTCCCAGTGCTGTGCACAAACCTCTACCACCTCAGTCTGCTCTTGTACTAGAGCTGACTGTTAGTACATAAGCCTGGACACATGCTCAATTACAGCACAACAGTGTGATAAAACTAAAAAACACCAAGCACGTCATAAGGTTTATTAAGGCCAGAAAGCCTGATATTAAGCTAGCTTTCTAGCATTTCTGCCATTGTGATACTAAGGGAAACAGAGGGACAAGCTGGCAAATAGAATTAAAACAATAATGTTGACATCTCAAAGCTCTCAGAACTTTGCCAGAAGGAATTGAACAGAAAATCTAATGGACCAAATCCACTCCGCATAAACATGCCTCCAGCCCAGAGTATGAGCCTGGAGCCACAAGGATGAACATCATCTGAAACTGCAGAAATTACACGGCTTAAAGCTGAGTGCACCAAGAAAAGAGAACACTCAAAACTTCTGAAAAACTGAAATGTACATCTGAGACAAGAACATATATAAGAAAGAGCCTTACATAAACAAGCAGTAGTACAACTGAGGATTTTGTTCTCAGCACTGCAGGCAAGTTTAAGAACTCACCCAAAGAGGATGAGCTGTAGCAGTAACTGGAGGTAACACATGCCGCCACAGTGACACAAATGACACCTGTCTGCCAGCAGCAGCAGCTAGGAATTCAGACCTTGAGACGTTTCAGCCGTAGCTTGTTACAGAAGCAGACACATAAGTCACAAGTTACGGCTTACCTTGGAATTTTTCAAATTCTAAGCCAGAAAGGCAGGGAACAAATTCGGTTCACTTTTTTTTTTCTTCCCAGAAAGACTTTCGCTAACACTATAAATTGGGAACTTCAGTATTACACCAATGCAAAAAATTAGAGGGGAAACACAGGTAAAGAAAACTAACTTTGAAGTTACTCACCCAAGTCATTATAAAGATTAATATGTATTTGACTCAAAGGAGGGCTATCCAAAGTTTCCTAGGTTAAAGAAGGGAGTGAGGCTGGACACCAGAGATATGCTGTATGTACATTATGTACCATCAGAGAAATACTTTTTTTAAGTAGAAGAATTGCCATTCAAAAAAACCCAAAACCAAACCAAACCACCAGTACAGATTAGCCAAACCTTGCAACTTACATGTCTTCAACAGTAATGTCCTTCAATATTTGGCAATAATCCACATTCCACACAGCCTGATCATCCCAGACTTTAGAAGCCAGCAGAATAGCTCCTAGGACTATCCTCTTCCAGTTACTAGGGCATATGTCAATCTCTGCATAGGTTAAAAGCCTTTCCAAATAAACCTATAAAAAGAAAAAAACAAACCAAAAACAACCCACAGTTTTGTGTGTGTAAGACCTGGAGCTGAGTTCTGAGCAGCAAGCATGCCAGTCCAATAGGACTATTTTATCCCATTACCCTTAAGTGTGTCAAAATAAGTATTAGTGATTAATACTTACAGTTCAGAATCCAAACTTTCTTAAGTTACAGGTTCCATTTTTTAGTATAACACAGGAACTGGACCACCAATGTATACAATAAAGACACTGAAGAATCAGTTCTGAGCAGTGAGCACTGCTGTTTCAGGGAGACACTGCTAGAGTTCTCTGTCACAGAGTCACTGACAGATTCTCTTAAGGGCCTATCTGGGATAGTAACTCATTCAGCATCATACCAGCCTTTCATCACGGTTCAGGTTCACCACTTGTAGCTTAACAGGAAGTGCTAAAACCTGCACTGTGACCTGTAGTCATGGGAGGAAGATGCACTAATTGCCATCTTTTCACAACGAAAGGCATCATAGTGCTGTTTCTACTTCACCCAGTAAAGAACAGACTTCAGTCTTTCACCTACAACATGATCCTCTGCTTTCATCTACATCACCAACTGCTTAGATAGTGAAAGACATTCAAGTGCAAAAGATGTGTCTTGGTCTTTTGCTCACTCATGTAATCTCAGATCAACCCAAACATATTGAATAATTCTCTTCCTTAAAGGCTTTCTGTTATTTCTCATTCCTATAATGATCCCTGTACTAAGTAATTTGCACTTTCAAATTTGCTCTACTCCCTAAACTAAGTCCAAGGTCCTAATGAAACCTCAGATAAACTAGTGGGTGCAGGAAGCTGTTGTAGGGCAGGATCAATCTTTATTACTAGTGTCTCCTCACACTTTCTTCCCATCTTTTGCTTGTAGCCTTCAAGTGGACTAAAGGTGTTGCTGTAATAACAGAGCCATCTAGTGGCAAAATCCACTTTAAAAACTATTTCTTATTCTGTAAATACTTCAGCTGGCTAGATTGCCTAGGGTTAGCTACAATCTTGTTCTGTCAAAATCGCTTACATGTCTTTGGAAGAGCAAAAACCTCAAACTACTTTCAGAGTTTCAAATGCTTAACTGTCTGGCCTTTGTAATTACTTATTTCCTTATTAAAGAGAGTCCTTCAAGCTGAGTTTGCATAACTACCACAATGTCTTTTCAGTGACAGCTATCTTCTGTTCTCCTTTCAGACTGTTTTTCAGAAAGAAGCCACAATGAAGACTCAAGTCTAGTATGCAACAAAGTGCAGTTTAAGAGACTGTCTAATGCAGCAATTATATAGGTTGTGTTTCTTTCTTTCCCTTCAAATATATATATGTATATGCACGCATATATGTGTCTGTATGAATAATCATTATCACTGTCAATTTTTATATCCATCTTACTTCCTGAACTCAAACAAACCGTAATGAGATTTTCTTACTATTGTTCTTAAGTTCCACGTACTTCCGTGTCCTTGGGAAAAAAAAAATCTGTAGTGTCTTTGGTTTCATAAAACACTTTGGTGTTTGATGGAAAGATGGCAATGACTGAAGGACATAATAATGAGAAATTTAGTCTCCTGGAGTTCCTACAGTATTGATTCTTGACCCCTCAGGTGGTGTTACTTGCACTGTTCCGGTTAATCTGAACTCAAAACTCCCACTTTCCCCTCCATAGAACTGAAATAAAATATGTTGTGTCTGATCTTATTATACTCTACTGTTTATGGTGTCCCACTGTTCTGCCTTTCTCAAGCTTCTTCAGCAAGTTATGTATTGTGAAACAAACAATGTTTGATTGGACAAGTAATTAAGTATTACATATTCATATACAGAAAAGGTAAGTTCCTTTTTAGTTAACCACTTCTGTGACTATTTTGAAATCTTCTCTAATGAACTCACTTGCACATCCTCATTATTAACAATGTTTCATGAGATACTGTAACTATTTAAATGTCAGTTCAGCCCAGTTCACACAGGGGAGGGGAAAAAAAAAGTCTTTCAAAACCTCAAATTTCAGTCATCAGGCATCTCTTACCAGTGTCACTATTGCACATTCAGCTGTCAGCTGTGCAGCACTGAAAAGCGTCCGAACAAATCGGTAGATGTGCTTGTGATCAGGGTCATGCTTGTAGTAGTCATCTGGAACTTCTTCCCGCTGAAAGAAAGTTCTCAGTTACTGAAAATTTGTTTGACTTAGTACTGACTTTAAAAAATAACCACACATGGTTGTTTCTTCTCACTTAATAGAAGTGTATACAGCCCTTCCCTGTCACAGAGACAGAAAATCATACACTGAAAGCAGCAAGCAACCTTGCAATATTATGAATATTCCAAACAAAACACAATAGCTTTAGTTAATATCTTTGTTTTGAATACTTTTTTTGATCTGTAAGTCTAATGGGAAAGAGCATGAACTACCATCATTACTACAGGTGCTAACTCGTATCCATGGAACACTTACAGACTAAAAGAGATTTTTAAAAAATAGTTTTTCCCTGAAAAAAATAATCAGATATATACACACCAGGGAAGCACTGGCTCTTCAAAAGGCAAAATTAAGAGAGTTTCCCTTCCAGCTGAGAAAGAGCTGAAGGACATACGGCAATAATTCTGTCACAGGTAGAACTGGAAGGTAACATGTTGTCTTCATAGAACGCATTCTTGAGAGATTCCAGAAAGACAAAGCTAATGAACTGCTAGATCCAACTTTAACTAAACTGTTTCAAAATACAGGGGAGAAGCTTACAAAGAAACAGTCTGCAAAAACAATCCTAAAATGAGTGTTTGAGAATTCTGACCCTGTCGCCCCAGAAATTCTGACATTCAGCACTCCTGGTGGCATGCAACTTCAAGAGCTCCAGCTTTACACACAGGTTCTGCAAGACTGATACTGAACAGGTTTCTATCCACAGCCCACATTAGACCTATAGTACAGTGAAAATGCCAGGTGAGAACGGCATAGCTGCTTGACATGAAATACATAGTCATAAGGTAAGCAACGCAGCAAGCGTTTTCATGTGGTTTTGTAGTTTATAATAGCCAGGTAACAGCATCATGTAAAATGGAGAGGTAAGTTAACTTTGTATTCTCCACACAGCCTTCTAAAATACGCTACTACCCAATGGAGGTTACCTCTTCAAGGTGGGCAGGCAACATTGGGAATAACACGAGCAGGATCCCCTTGCGTAATTCCAGAGCTACGAGCAGTACAAAAGCACACCTGGAAGTACATTTTTGCTGAGTGGAACCGAGGAGGAAAGGACTGGACTGGTATTTGTAAATTAGCCCTGTGATGCTGGTAACTTGAAGTTTGTGACTTCCGCTATTAGGGTCAATAGAGCCTGGATTTGGGCTCCTTGTCACTGAATCTTTAGAGGACAAGGTGTTCAGAAATTTCTTCCAGCTAATTAATCTTTTTAAAGGAACTGTAGGTACCCAGCCAAAACCCCACTGCAACAGAAACTAACAAGCTGTTTGTATCTTTCCCCTCCGGAGTATAACATACAGCCATTACTGTATTTCTGTCTGTATACTGCAATGAGATAGAGACCTTTAAGTGTTCCCTAGGAGGACACAACAATTTTCCGCTATACTCATTAAATAGGAGGTACACTATATGAAACGATCAAAAGATACCAGGTTAAAGAAACTGTCTTATGAAGTGGAGTTCATCCTAAATAAATGAAATAAATAAATAAATAAATAAATTCAGGTTAGAGATAAGGAGGAAGTTCTTTACTGAGAGGGTCGTCAGAAGCTGGAACAGGCTGCCCAGGGAGGTGGCGGAGTCACCATCCCTGGATGTATTTAAAGAGCGGGTAGATGAGGTACTTAAGGATGTGGTTTAGGGGGTAGACAGGAACGGTTGGACATGATGATCTCAGAGGTCTTTTCCAACCAAGCGATTCTGTGATTCTGTGAAATAATTTTCAATGTGAAACTACTGATTCAGGCAGTTGAAATAGTTTTGTACCAGACTTTTCTCTTGAAGTGCCATAGTCCATACAAGAAATCTTCTATATAGCTCTTCTCCTGAATGTTTATTGAGTAAACAGTTGTACTTATTCAAGTGTAAAATTCCTAGCACAATGGGTCATGTTTAGGGATGAAACTCTAACAAACTTAAATATTTAATTGTTTATTAAACACTGTTTATTAACAAGCCAAATCTGTAAGCCTCAGAGCAAACTGAATTTTTAAAGCCACTAGAGCTTTGCTAAATTAATTTCAAATGAAAGACAAAAGAAGTGGTTCTGTAGGACAGTCATTAAAGCTAGCAGTGCTCAATCTGGGAATAAAAAGCAAATGCTCCACTCTTGAGCTTGCCTGCACTGTGTGGTTTTGCATCTTAAAACACTGTCTAAAAAGGTGTACCAGGACCAGTCACATTAAAATCACATGCTGAACACTCTTAGCTGTTACTGCAAGCAGCACTAAGCCTATTTGCTTTAAAATCTTGCCTTTCAGGTTTTTTAAACACCGAACTCACTGTCTCTTACTTTGCATGATGCTTTACATATCACGTTCTCCTGTTTACAGTCATTTAAAAGGCTAGGCACATATATACTAACCATGTCTTCCTAAATAAATAGGAAAGACTTAATTATAGCAGTGAAGGAGTCAGACAAGGAAATTCTGATAAGAAATATGCAAGAATTAGATGGTGCTTGCTTTCCATTTATATTCAAAGCATAGAAAACCAAATATACCTTGCAACATTTAGAAAGACTGGGTTCTGTTCATGCTCTAGCTGATATGAACAGTCCAGAGGACACTGTCTGCACTGTATTTTATATATAAAGATACAATTTAGATCAACTTGCTTGTGACCTGGTGCTAATACATTTTTATAACTCATACAATAAAAATCAAGATGTTAAAAAAAATATATATTGAGACACATTCAGAGGACCAAAAAACTATACTTACTGTGAGAGGATGAGATTTTTCATCAAAAATATCCAATGATCTGTCAGAATCCCTACAAAGTAAAAAAAAAAATTCTCTGTTTTAGCAACAAGAGTTAATCGGTAATGTTATGCTCCACTAAGAAGTATCATTCATTAAAGAGGATATAGGGACATACTTTACAGTTCAGCTTTTCCTAGAATATGGTATGAAGTTATATTGTATTTTTGCAAAGAATTTAAGGATGAGGTCTTACAAGTGAATATTTAAAGAAGCTAAACAAGTAAGAGCTATCCATCCTCTCATATTATGCTAAGCACAACGTGAAACCATGTTATTATCAGCATTTATTTCAAACAGGCAGCTGTAACTTTGAAGCATACACTGTAACTAGGTATAATGGCAAGGGTTATTTGTACATGGGACAGTGTTCCTTCACCAATCAAAACTAATCTGTACCTCCATTTAGCTTTTCCTGAATACAAAGTTCCAAGGCTGATTTGTGGTAAGTTAAGGGTATCCTCCTTACTCTGTTTTGACTTTTTATGCTTCATTCTTGATGAAGCATGTGTCAGTGGATGGGTGTATTACTGACCCTTCTGTATCAGCTCACAAGTGAGTACAGAGAGAAAGCAGATACAGCATGAAGTGTCAGATCTTTCAACTCCTTTAAGTTAAACTAGCTGTTACTGAAGTGACCAAGACCATATACCTGGCTCAAAAATAAAGTTTTTACATTTCCACAAAAAAAAATTCACTCACCTGTTCTTTATATGGTAGAATATTGCTAATGTTACACTAGAAGAGAGAGAGAAAAAAAGCTTTAACAAAGCACATTCTGTGTGCAGTTTCACTGCAAAAGCTGTTGTTTATGGCAAAATGTTCAGAATCCATTATGTGCTGGCTTCCTCTCACATTCTTGAGTACTCTGTGTCTCATTTCTGATGTTCACCTGACTGAACAGAAACTGACCAAATCAAATTTGCTAGCCAAACTACTTTTATATTCATTATACAGATATTTGTGCCATGAGTAAATACTATACCACATTTTAAACACACCTTCATTGCCTGATTAGGTGACACTTATGGAAAACGTGGACTATTCACAACTAAAATATAATAAAAGTTCTACTTCACGTTACATGTATTGTTGTAGAAATTCTGCTGATGTTTTAACTGTATCTGGCTGTCTAATTTAGGACCTGTCTAAAAAGAAGAGAATAATATGCCAGCATAATCCAAGAAGGGGGAGAAGAACAGTTCTCAGTCTCTGCTGAGTCAAGTAAGGCAATGGATTTCATACTGGAACCCATCTACTGTCGCCAAATTTCAGATACTTTACTGGCAGAGGCAACAGGAACACTGCCATCACAGAAATCCATCATGGGCAAGCTCTGATCTGTTGCCAGCTGTACACCACTTCAAAATGGCACAAGCACCATCTTTTAGTTTTTTTCTCTAGAAAAGTGACATACTAGATACCTCTGTTTGAAACCAAATTTGAAAGCAACAAATCAATTTAGACATTTCCAACCATTACTAAGTGTTGAAACAGTAAAGCTGCCTGGCTATTTTGCCTTACTTTCCCTTCAAGCACAGTAGAACTCTTCTCAGTTCTCAGCTGGTATCGTCTATGCACAAAGCACTGTCTCTGTGGTACCCAGAACAATAGATCAAACAGCCACGTCCACTGGAGAACCAAGGAGACTAAATAATTATCCAACCTGAAGTAATAAATAACAGGAAGGAAAAGTAAAACTGCTGGAACTAAAGCCAAAGCCAGCAACATACTGTTATCCACAACTAGAGGGCAGACTAATACCACTGGCAAGCAGCAAATACAGCCCTACAAACTTCCTGGAACTCCACAAAATCCATGTCAAGTTTTCCCAGATCAAGAGTTTCTGGATTTGGCTTTCAATGTGAAGTGTTTGAGCTCCCTACCGTCAACAGACGCTTTTAAACCCAAAATGCTGACACACTTCTGCACTGCCTCAGATTCTCAAGTGCACAATGATAACTACTTTGAAATACAACAGTACATTAGCACTGTAACTAAAAAAACACCCCTCATTTCAGTGGTTATAATTGCCCAGACCTCTACACCCCTACCATGACCAACCTGAACAAGCAGTGCTGCACTCCTCTCATTCAAGCATGTGACTGGCTTTGGAACAGAAAAGACCACCACAAAATCCCAAATAAATGTGCAATGCTACTCAGCCCCTTGCTGATGACAAACGGTTCTTACCATTTTATTGTGCTTCTAAGGTTAGGTTGACTGACAGTGCTGTCATCTATAAATATTGTTGAGCATGAGCTGTACTTTTTCGTGAGCTGCCCAGGAGAAACCTGAGGGGGAAAAAAAGCCGAAGAAGAAAAAAAAACAGAACAGAAATATATTTAAGAAGAGGGATTCTGTAAGTTTTGGTTTACCACACTGAATACTGGCTTTTCACCTCAAGTAGCCACTGCAGAGGAGGTCTTTGCAGATGATTGCTCCTGCTATGTAAGCTACCCTTTCTGCAAGATAGGTTTATAAATCATCCCTTGTAATATACAACATGATGTCTTTAGGTAAGTAATTTTCAGCAGAAATAGCTGCAGGTAAAGCAGCAAGTCCTCCAATTCTTTTTGTTCTCTTCCACTCCATTCTTGTCAGTTCAGGTCTCAGTCTTCCCCCTCTATGATGTACTTTATTAGATTTCCCTGTGACTCCATAGTCATCATCTCCCTTCTTTTATAGCCTATAAATTTACATTTTCTGGTTATCCAGTATCCCTGTAAAGACAGTTTTGCATTTAGAGTTCTGTCTTGTTATATTTTAGAAAAAAGAAATATCTTCTTGACATTGTCTTGTTTAGTGTCTGGAATCTGGAAATAAAGTACCCTTACTTTTACTATTCAGAGCTGGCAGCATGTTCCATATCTGTCCTAAGCCTGAAGATTTTACACTGTAAGAAAACTTCCTATGCAACACTAAGTCAGGCTTTCATGAGCATTTTTAGAGAATGCCTTGCACTAGAGCTAGGATGTCATAACTGAGGGAGGAGTTTTAATAAAGCAAATCAAGATTCATTAGTTTTTGCCAGAATCTTTTTAAATGCCTTGTCTAAAAACTTGAAAGTCTTCCATATGAAAATGCTGGCACCTTTCACAACTCAAAGGATGCCTGGGAATATGTCCCATTCCAGCTGAAGCTTGCCAGCAAAAACAATCTCGTCACACTTCTCCTTAGTGCTGGCAGACTAAAGCTGGAACTGTAGCCGAAAAAAAAAGAAGAAAAAATAAAAAGAACCACTCCCCCATAATCATACTAAACACAACAGACTTGAAATACCATTATCTTACCAGTTACTCAGCAGTAGACACTTCTGCTAGACAGTATTTTTAAGCTTTGTGTTAGTAATTTCCATTATTAGCTTTGCTAGTTAATAATAATTTTATCCACTTATTAACAAGATTGTGTCTTTGTGTGTATTTTTTTTGGTAAGTGAAGTGTCAAAACAAACTAATATTTGCAGAAGAAACTTAAAGCATATTTTCAGATTTTAAAACTAATAGATTAGCATTTGTTTATTATGTTAATGATAATGTTTGTTCATCGTTCGTTTTCCATACTGGATATTCTTACAATACATCCTGTAGTGACAGTCAAACAGTAAGTCATTTAAGACTTGTCATCTCAGCCAAGAAATTAATTCAGTTTTATTTCTGTTTAAAGAAAAAAAAACAATGTAGGCACTTTGACTTGTATATTTTCCTTCATTGTTCTGAAAGGCTTAAGATCGACAGAACAAAAAATATATTCTTATTCTTTTGACATCAGCCACTCTATGCTCTGTGATGCTGTGACTGTTTATTTTTTAAAGACAGGCAGAGATAATTCAGCTTTATCTTGCCAAGGAGGATTTGGAACATGTGTAAGACTTCATACTCAGAACTATGACAGTTGTTTCTTGAATTCATCTTTGTCTCAATATAATAATGTTATCTATATAGCACAATAAGAATTTGTTTTACTTACATGATTGATGTGGTTACTCTTCCTCTTCTCTCGCACTAGGAAAGAGAGAGAAAGAATGTGAACTGAAAGGTTTCTAAAATACAATCCCAGTTTACATTCAGTAAAGTCATTCTATTAACCTAGTCTTCTGAAGTACAGGAGTATTAAAGTTTCAAATTTGACTTTAGGTGCCTGGAAATGTAGTTTGAGGAAAAAAATACAGCGTTTTGACAAGCTAGTAAACTACATATTGCTTCCAACTATCCACATGTACATTTAGGAAATACTACCCATTGCACTACAGGAAAAATGTCTCAGCTTTGAAAAGATGCTGTGCATCATGAAAAACTGGATGATTTCAGATAGTTCAAACAGACAATGTCCAACATCCAACAGCAACCACTCATCAAATCTAAGTAAAAACCTCACATGCTGAACCTGCCAAAGACACACAAGGAGGAAGTGAGGTGCCCAGCATGGTACATGTTTTCTCTCTCCTCCTATTAAGACAGCAGAAGGTAAAAAGGTATTTCACTATGCAGAAGATGCTGGCACAAGTGTAACCATGTTATTTGATAATTTTAAACTGTGTCAGCTTTTCAAAAAAAGATTATAAGGTTTAACTTCTAGCTATAACAGCAGCAGTAAACCAGAGCTGTTAAAGTAGAGCTGAGTGTTGCACACATGCATCACCAGCCTGGACAGGTAACTTCTCCAAAGTTTTGACCTCACATCATTACCACTTGTTAGCAGGACACATCCTCTTATGCATTTAGAAAAATTAACAATTGGAAGAGAATATCCAATTTTCTTTGTCTTTTTGCATAAATCAAGACTCATAATTCTGATAACATCTCAGTGAGAGAGAACTTACAGACATAAATTCTACTAGCTCTATGAAATGTTAACTAAAGAAAATCCCATGAAATAAGAAAATAAATTCTTCTGCTGGACTCATCCATAAAAATACCCTGTAAAAACCAATTCAACTAATAGAAACTTCAGGGGATAGTTAAATAGTTATCTCACCTAGCAGACCATTTTTGTACATGAACACAAGTGTATACACTTCAACAGATAACATTTGAAAAATACTGAATCGTGTTTGAAAGGAATACAACCCCCAAAAAGGATGTTCATGTAGTTAGAATGTTATTTGCAGCCAGGGTGAAAGGCTGCACAGCAAAGCTGCACTAAAGCTTTTGAGAACTATGTCATCTTGTTAATTGCAACTTAGCAGAGCTCTTCTAAAAGGTGTTTGAAATGTGCAGGTCAGATCCTCTGTCTGTTTGAATACTGACCTTAGAGACCTTGAGGAAAAGAGTCCTACATTTCCTTGGTATCATCTCTTCTGGAGAATTATGCTAAGTGCTTGTTTCCAGTGCGCACAGATTATCTGAGCATTGCCAAGTTGATACAACTGATAATTTTACTACTTGCCATTAGACTCTGAATAGCAGGACTGCAACTGACAGACCTGTCAAAATAATTCTACTTTTCTGTAGCAAAGCTATGCCAAGGTAGAAGACACGCTGCAGCTTTCCATCAACACATCCAATCTCAAGTGCAACACTGTCTTAGGAAAAAAAGCTCTTCAAACAAGAACAAGCTAAAAAAGGAAGAGAATAACATCTTAAACTTAGTTTTAGTTGCAACTTCAAAATCTACTATTGTCAGAATTCTTTTTTATTTGTGCAGTATGGAAATGCCTCCACTTTATAACAGCATTTTGGAATGCACAAGCTATAGCAATTGCTCATAATTCAGTGGTCATAAAAAACCCCATCACTGCTTGAAGCTTGCATTACACTGGTGAAGAAAGCCTTGCTCCTTCAGACTACTAGGATCCAGACTCTGAAACCTCCTGATATTTAAGTGTTTAGAGGAACAATTTTAAGTGTTACATAAAACAGACTACGATCACATTTCTGTGTAAACGTGGAAATTATTAATCCCTATGCTTTGAAAGAATTAAAGCAATTTAATTGCTGTTCTTGAGGTGTATAATTAAAATAGGCAGTTATTTATCCAGGTTTTCTCCTGCCTTTTTTTAAATTGCAAAATAATTCACTTACCATCTGTTTGAGACTTGCTCAGGAAAATTGTGCTTGCTCTGGGATGATCAGATGGATTAGATTCCAAGGCTAAATCTGAAACAAAAAAAAGGAGAGACCTTTTAACATACAAAGATGATTACTGCAGCAATTGTCACCCAGCCTTAAAATGCTCAAGCACAGCGATGGAGATGAGGATCAGAAACACACAAAATGGGCAGTCTCCCTAAAGCAAAACCTTACTTTCACCAATATAAATAAAAATCTGACATTTTCCCCTTTGGAAAAAAAACAACTGTGGGCTTACTCCTACTGCCATGAAGCTCTGAAGTAGCTTATGGTTTGCATCAAGACAAAATCTGGAGAGGGAGATTTCAGAAAACAACACAGATCTTCAAAAGTCAGTGTGCACCCCCTGTGTGTTACAGTAGCTGGATCTGGAGCCTGTGCTCAGTAGAGGAGCATGAAAAAGAAAGCTAGAACTTTATCAAGAGCATAATTTAAAAAGGAAAGGAAAAAAAAGGGAAAAGGGAAAAGGGAAAAGGGAAAAGGGAAAAGGGAAAAGGGAAAAGGGAAAAGAAAAAAGGGAAAAGGGAAAAGGGAAAAGGGAAAAGGGAAAAGGGAAAAGGGAAAAGGGAAAAGGGAAAAGGGAAAAGGGAAAAGGGAAAAGGGAAAAGGGAAAAGGGAAAAGGGAAAGACACTGCTGATCTTTCACTCTATGTTTTAAGTACCCAATATGGCAGGGAATAATCTCTGTGGTCTTATAAAAGAACTTAATAAGTAACTTTTACAATGCTGATAAATACCAAAACATAGCTCTTACTTGAAATTCAAAAGAACCAAATAGTGTAAAACCCCAGCTAATATATAATTATTGGGGAAGAAAATTATTGCTTTAATCCTTTGCCACAATGAACCAGTGATGACATTAGATGAGGATGTATTACTCACTCAGATTAAGATGGGAGTGATCACTAAAAGGTTTGTTGATGAAACTGTAAACATCATGATGAAATTTTGAGCTGCATTAGCATTGACAGAAGAAACAGCTGTTCTGAGGAAGTCACACTACAGACACACTGACTTATGTGAACATATGAACGGGATAATCTATTACTGTGATCCTGTACATCCTGGAAAGAGCAAATTCGCATCCCTTTTTACTTGTCATTCTGATCTGTGTGCCACTTATGCCATGCTAACCACAAAAGCATGCAAGCTCGCAAACTTGCACGATAGCACTTCAAGGAGCTATGCCGCTGCAGTTGCCACACCCTTAAGAAACAAAGTCATCTAAGAAACACCATCAACTTTTAATTTAAAAAAACCCACCTTTTTATACACTCAACCAACAGAACTCTGGTTAAATAGTAGCCAAAGTATGCACAAACTGTCTCAGTGCTCGAAGTCTTAACGATGTGAATGTTTTGTGCTACTGCACCTAACCCCTCATGCGTCAGCGAGTGAACGTAATTGCAAAAGTACGTGTGTCCCCAAGACTTCTCATTCCAGATTCCCACTGGTACACAACACTGGTATCCAGACCTGGATGTTTTCCAAATACTTGGCTTACAACACCAGTGATCTTAGTCCAACAGTGTTGCTCTAACACAGGTCCAGGATGCAGGCCACTGTAATTCTTGATCTCTGCTGTACCAATAAGGTAGCCAACGTCTATTTAGGAACACAAAGATTGTTCAATCAGGAAATTCACCCCCTCCATTTCCCTTAAAAAGGGCAGAGTTAGCTATGAAAGCAGATAATCTTCAGCAGTTTTTAAAACCTAACTTACAGAAACAGTATTTCTATTTTCACCTTACTGTGCTTGCTCATGGCACAAAGTAAACAGACACCTGAATTTAATACCGTAGTTAAAACAGAAGAAGCTCCAGTTTAGAAGCCCTAGAACGGAATTTGCCTTACAGCTCATACCTGAGGTACCACTAATACACAGTCGACTCTCTGGAAAAAACCAACAAAAATCAGCACACAACAGTACGCCATGCCAGCACACTTTTAACTACTGTTGGTAACATCTCTACAAAATAGTATCACTACTGTTTAAAATTTGTTCACAATGTTGACACATTTCTAACACAATGTTTAGGGGAAGGCAGCAGGAAGACTGGGGAGGAACAAGCACAGGAAAACAGAGAGAAACGGGTTACTGAATTCAGTGCTCCTCCTTACTGAGTTTCAAAGGGTTCCTGCTGGGCCAATCCTCCAGGCTATCTAGGTTCCTCTGAACAAGCAGCTTCCAGCACACTGACTGTTGCCCAATTGGGTGTCACCTGCAACCTGGGCACACTCCACTGCCTCCTCCAGGTCATTGATGAATGTTAAACAGGACAGGTAGTTTTTTTCCCAGGGAAGAGACAGTAAGGGATAACGCCCATCCTCCCTCACCCCATTAAAAAAATACATTAACATCTTGGCTTCCCTGAGGTTCTAATTTACTTTGAAACTATAGGATTTATTAAAGTTCACTTTTTGTATTGGTTTTGCCTCTCTTTGTGCTCTGCCAGTCCCTATATCTGTGCTTCTTAGATGTTCAAAATCAGGCCTAGGTCTAAAAGCACTATGAGGATTAAACACATGCAAATAAAAACAACTTTCACCCCAGACAAGAAGAGTCTAAGATCTGCAGCACTGCAGGATGCACCAAGGGACACAATATTGACATGGCCACACAAGTCAAACTTGCCCCCCTGAACCTAAGCAGACCCACACATTTGAGAGGAGGAACAGCAGTGACAGGAAAATAGACTTTACTGGCTCCAGTTCCACAGTGGCTCTGCCAGGCATAAGATGCTTTCTGCTGGGCAAAGTCAGGCATATCAGCACCCACAGCACATTAAATCCACAAAAAATATACAACCAGATAAAGTTACGGTACTAACAAACTCCAAGACACATCGGGCAGCCCCTGGTACAAAACCCCACAGTAAGTGAGCAAGACCACCTGTAACTAGACTTCTTATCCCAGAATAACATAGCAGAAACAGCACATCTGCTTTTGTCTCGCAGGAGACCGTGAAGAAAGAAAGATGGATTTAGTAGACTGCCTCCATGCAGGCTTCCCCTTCTAAGCAGCCAGAGAATTTTAACCCTCGTTTCTGTACTGTTCTCCCTGTACAGTGCTTTTTTCCAAGCAATGGAAAAATTAGTCATATGATTTGCTTTTCCTGAACTGCTCGTGTTGCTCATTAAATACCAAAAAGCAACAGTAATACAGCTGAGGCAGGAAGCATAAGGCAAGAGGCAGATATGGATGTGAGAAGAGGTAAAATGTAATGCGAAACACAGCGAAAGAAAAGCCAGAGGAAGAGATTAATCTATCTGCAAGCAATGTGACTCACAACCAAGCATAACTCCTAAGACTTCATCCTAGTAGCACTTAAGAGTCCAAAACCAAGATATCTAGCCCTGAAAATAAGGATTAGTCTTGATTAAGAGCTACACCAGAAGATGTATGACAGAAAGTTCAGGCTTCCCAGATAGAGAACAGAAAAAGAAAGCATGGTATGCCATGGGATGAACAGAAATAACGGGAGTCAAAACATGCAGCAACAGGAATGAGAGAAATGAGATTATATAAAAACAAGATGATATAAAAAGCAAGAAAACAACTCTGGAACATTTTTGTTTTAGAACCTATCCACTCAGTAGAAGTCAAAACACACTTTCTATCAGACCCTCCCATTAGTGATAAAGAGGCGAGAAGGGATTCCCACCAGAAATTAAGTCTGTGGGAACAGCACAGTAACACTGCCAACGTTACAATGGCCCTCCACCTCCAAGAAACACATATTAAGAATAGCCTTCCTCCTTATTTCTCTGCATCTCTCAGTGGTACTACCAAGCTTGTCAGATCAAGCCTGTCTCCAACTGGAGCACAGAGTTGCTTCCCTCTTCACCATTCTCATTTTAAAGAATCCCTTGCAGCTTGCTTGCCCTTCAGACAATCTCAGCTACCTCTGCTGCTGCTGCTCTGCACGCCATGTGCTGATAACAGCGTACAGTCCCCCACAGGGCAGATCATATTAGTCTTAAAAGCAAACCTCTGCCCCTAGCTCAAGATCTTATGTCCTTTCCTCAACACAAAATCCGCATGAAGAATTTACTTTTATTCTTCTTCTATGTCATATGAACATGTGTCGGTTTCAGGAACTTATAATGCTAGCTCCTTATCTACTGTTTCACACATCTCCATGGGTGATTTCTAACTATTAAGAACACATTTTACACACTGCATCGTGCTACATATACTATCTCATGAATAAAGCTGACAGTCAAAGATGTCATTAAGTAGCAGCCCTTTGACAACTTCGCTACTTTAAAACACTAAAACATTGCCTTTCCTCTAACAGTTTTAGCCCCATCCTCTGCTTTACTAGACAGCAGTAACATTTTGATATAGCACATATTTAATGCATTAAATCATAAAATCATCTCTTTGCTGTAATTGGAGTTTCTTCCCTTGCTCAGTGGGTTATTAGCTTTGAGTGTGAAAGATGCGAGTTACTTAACACTCCCAATAAAGATCTAAAAATTAAAACAAATTACACTAACAAATTTGCCAATACATTTCAGAAAGCCTGTCATTTCTAATGATAACTTCATATAAAATGATTTGTCTGTTAAATTATGTTGTTCTATTTGTATTCCCAAAAACTATCCTAAAAAACTACAATTCTGGTTTCTAAATCCAATCTGTTTTGTTTACACCTCACCAGGCACATCAAACACACCGCAGAACACAGGACACGTTTACCTTCCCTGTTATGTCCTCAGTTACTCACTATGCTTTAACTGCTCCATGGGTGGCTTCTTCCCCAGATCTGGACAGAATGAAAGCACTTTGATCTCCTGATTATTCATCTTCAGCAAAATACGTGTCTCTTCCCTAATGGGATGGATTCAAAAGATATTAAACTTGCTGTTTTCATAACTAGTACAAGCAAATTTGAGTACATAAAGGACTGGATCTGTCGCATAACCAAGTGCTTTTAAACACAACCAGTTCTCAGAAACGCCCTCTATTTTGAGGGAGAACCTTGGTGAAAACAACCTTAACCAACACTTGCATGTGCATAGGTCCCTTAAAAAACACTGCTAACTCCTCAGAGGAGGTCAACTCTATATTTACAAACTACTAAAACCAACCCATGCAGTTAGCCTTTGTTCACAGAAGGAAAGAAAGAATTGCTGAGGTTGAAAGAGACCTCTTGAGATCACCCAAGTACAACCCCCTACTGAAGCAGGGTCAGCAAGAGCAGGCAGGCCAGGAGACTGAGTCAGTCAAGTTTTGAGGATCTCCACAGAGACTTCACCACCTCTCTGGGCAACCCGTACAGTGTCTGACTAGCCTCATCATTAAATTATTATTTCTAAAGATTTCTACACAACACACACAGAAGTTGTTCCTTAGAGCACTAATACAAGACCAAGTGCCTGTGATGTTTTAGAAGGCTGTAGAAATTACTTCAGTATACAAGAAGACCTCTCAATTAAGAATGAATTATTTGCACTTTCACACCACACTCCTGGGGCTGGGCTAGTACAGCAAGAAACTGGCACAGTAAGATTCCAGATTTGCTAATAAAAAGAATTGAGAAAGCAAAAATGCGGACCATCTGTTAAATACTGTGGGCTAGCCAGGGTTCAAGTTTTCTATTCATTTCTGTGGTTCAAAAATATCAATACAGCATTAGCGTTCTTGCATTTCTTAAACTGCAGGAAGATTCACGCTGCTAATCATTGGCCTCCACAGCAAATCCCAACATGATCCAATTGCACTCGGTTCACAGCCCTGTTGGGGAAATATGACTGAGAGATCTGCTCCACCACAATATTTAGCCTTTCTGGGACCGAAAGAAGGCGAGCAGGCTTCCACATGTTTCATGAAGGTTTATAATCACTTCTACACATTTTTGCCAGGCAGAACAGCAGGATGTCAGGAGTGCCCCAAATTCCACAGTGAAGGCAGGAGCAGTTAAACGGGAGGAAAAGTAGATGTTCCTAGGATTTTATGTTGGAACTAGAAGGAAAAGCATAGCTCACAAGCTACATTTCAAAAGTAACTAATATTTTGTTAGAGATGTGTTTCTGTACTGCATCTAATGTAGGACCATTTAAAAAGGAGAAAGAATTGGTTCCATGCTGTCCATTTTTTGTTGCCCACAGAGACCTTCACACATAACACAATTCACTACCACAAGAAGCTAAAGCAGAATTCCACAGCTCTAACTTTTAATTGATAAACCAAAATAAAAAAATTTGACTGTACACATCAAAGATCAACCAAATTTTACACTCGTAGATTCATGCTGATAACTGCAAGTGTAAGGGAAGCTTTCCCCATAACAACTCTTCCCACGCTCTCTGCCTTACTTCTCACAAGACATGGTTCAGAAAGACAAACAGGTGAGTACCAGAAATTTCAGTCTCATCCAGTGTCTGCAGGTAACCAAACAAGACACACTGTACCTTGTGCTAAGTGTCATATGCAATCTGGACTGATGGACTGGCATGCTTTTTTTCATCTTCCAACTGCTCACATTAAGGCAAACTTCAAATGAAGCTTGGCCTTTCATCGAAGTTAACAGTTTCATCAAGTTTCGTGCCAGTTTAGGCACAAGCTCAAACACAGTCACTCTTCACAGTGGCTTTGT